AATTTATGGTTGTTTTATCTTGATATGGGCAGAGATTGCTTCTTTGATATATCAATAAATATTACTTGTAACTAAAAATATTCAAGTGAGGAAGTTGCAACTCCTGGAGACGTTCATGGAAAGTGAGTTTTATCCTGTATGTGTTTTTTTTTCTTCAAGCACAAAAAATCTAAATTTCCTGATTTTTATTCTTCAATAAATAGCTTCCAATGTCCCACAATCATAAACTCGCCTCCTAACCGCGGTGCACTTATTTTCAAAAATTTTAACTGTGTTGCCTCACCATTGGGGACTTTGATTAGCCGCATGCTGAAGGCTTGTTATGGACCGAAAAGGTGGAAACCAGAGCCGATTTCTCAGCAATTATGTGTCCAGAGGTGTTTGCTGCAATATTAATGACATTTCCAATCCCGAGATTTCTTCCAAAAAGCACCCCAGGTATGAGCTTCGAACCGACATCGCACCGCAATCCCTTATTTAATCGCTATTGGTAGTATATTGTAACAAAAATGTTTGTTTACGTTTCCTAAATTTTTCTTCAATAAATCGCTATAATTTATAATTATTTGTTATTTTCAATTTCATATTTTACGCTAGTTCTTACTGAAATTCCTTAAAAATATTTGGGCTAAAAACAGATTCAATTTTTGGCAATTCTAGGTCACAAATTTATTCAAAAATTATTGAACATTACTTTTTTTAGAATGAGAGTCGCTTAAGAAAATTGATGAAGTTCTTTCCTTCCTCGGAATTTTGTTATCGCGTTAGCTCTTGCAACTTTTGACATGCGACTTGAGCGTGTACTTGCTGCCAAAGGTTTTGCTGCACCGGGGACACTGAATGGAGCCGGCGTGTTTCTGCAAGTGGCGCCGCAGGTTCTCGTTTCGCGCAAATGATTTTTGGCAGATGTGGCACGCGTTGATGCCGTAATGCGAGCGCACGTGCATCGCGCAGCTGTTTACGTCGGCATAATTCTTGTGGCAAAGCGAGCAGAAGAAGCGGCCGTCAACTTTGACCACCTCAATATTCTGTGCTTGGCCGTTCTCGGCTGTCGGAGGCGGCAGCAGCACCGCTGCCTCCACCTGCTCCTGCTGCACCCACTGGGCGCACGACTCATACGTCACCGTTACCACTCCGTCCTCTGCAAATGGCAATTCAAGCATACTTTAGCAAGCGAACCAATCTCATCGGATTTTTTTAGTCAATTTTCAAACAGCACACGCAGGACCAGAATAGAACTTCAAATTTATTACTTCATTTTAAATGAGATTTATTTTTTTGAAATCATTCTGATTTTCCATTTGCAAAAGTGGAAATTCGGCGCTTTATGATTTTGTAACTTTTTAAATTTTAATAGTATTCAACTTTTAAGATTGAAGAAAGAAAATTAAAGAACAAAATAAGAATCAATTCAATACTTTAAAGATTTATAATTTGACGTATAACAAATAATATGATAATAATAGCTCAGATGTTTTTTAAAGCTTAATTAATTTTTACAAAACAATTCAAAAATAATTTCCAACAGCAATAAAATAATTTATTCAAAGAGAACCCACTTTAAGATTTATTTGCAGCTCAGTTCCATTATGAAAGCAGCGTCAACAAGTGATCAGAAATTTTCATTGATTTTTGCGAAACGACATTGTTTCATTTTAAATGAACAGAAAAATAATAATCTAACTTCTTTCTATTCACTGTCAGCATTTTTAGTTTTCACGATTTCGTCGCGTTCACTTTGTGCACGTTTCGCAAATGAGCGTTCAGGTTTGATATGCGGCTGCACACTTTGCCGCAGATGGGGCACACGGTTTTGCCCTGGTGCACCTTGAGGTGCTTTTTCAGGTCACCCATCGAATTGTACGTTTTGCCGCAGACGCCACAGGTCGTGTGGCCTGCGTGTGTCTGAAGGTGCGACACGCACGCGCCTTTGTTCGTGTAGTCCCGGTGGCACACGCCGCACAGGAAGCGGCCGTTGGCCGCCTCCACCATTGTAACCCCCGCGGCCTCCAACTGCGCCAAGCTCAACTTCGACCCCTCCTCCTCCTCGTCTCTTACTACGAACTCGCCCAAATCGAGATCCCCTGAAACCAAATTAACAAACAATCAGCAACTATCAGTGCTGTGATTTCCTTTCCAAAATTTACAACCCCGAGGGCGAGTTCTTTTTTATTTTGAAATATAAATCTCATGCTTATTAAGATTTAAATTCAATTTTCTCAGAAAAGTTAAAATTAAAATATGAATAATCGTAATAATTTCCATCTTTAACATTTGAATGCATTTAAATCGCCGATTTTGAACATAAATGATTGTAATAACGTTTCGTTTTTTGATAATTCAATTTATATTAAATTAATTCACTCGATGTTGATTCATTTGCGCAAATTAGACCATTTTTTATAAATATTTCCTTAAGCAATTTATTTTATTTTGATTCTCCAACATGATAAAACGCAAATTCAATCCTTTTTCCCAACATTCTTACTGTTTTCAAATAATTTTGTGCTTGTAAGCTATCAAAGGGGCACAACAATTAATCTAGCATGTATTTCTTTTCCTCGCGTAGAAGGCCAGCGTTCCTGTCCATAATTAAGGTATACAACATTATTACACTGTTATTGTATTGCATTAATTGCCTCAGTCGTATATATTATATAGTATTCCCCACGTTAAACAAATCAACAATATGCATAAAAAATTCGTCCGACAAATCACGAATTAAAAAGTTAATTCCGTTCACCCCTCGGTGAATTTATTATTTTTCAATAAAACAAGAATAAGCAGCTGCGTCTTCGTATTGCACTGATTTGAGCCACGAAATTTAGAGTTATAACAAAATCGTTTGCTACGAGCTGGCCTCATCCTTGAACTCCTTAAACTCGTCGTGGATGTTGTGGACGCTGGACATGTGGCGCTTGAGGCTTTTGGCGGTGCTGACGGTCACTTTACAGATCGGACACATGGTTTTGCCCTCGTGTTTTGCGAAATGCGCCCTCAAGATGGACAGACTGCTGAACGTCTTATGGCACACGGTGCACGTGGTGCGGCCGTTGTGCATGGCCATGTGCGTCCAGCACGACCGCTTGTGCGAGAACGTGCGATTGCACACCGAACATATGAATTTGCCCTCGGCCGCAATGATTTTGCCTCGCGCCGTCACCGACGACTCGTACCCGCCGGACAAAAGGAAATGCACATCCGGTCCATCTGAAAATACCAAAAGCGCCTCCGATTAGCTCTTCAGCTTTTTGCTCTCAGTGCCCCGCCAGAAAAACAAAACGTGCCCTTCCAATATACTTTTTTAATCATCCGAAAGAAGCCACCGCGAAGATACTGATTATTAGAGTTTTAGATTTAATTATTTCTGCATTCCAACATTCAATCTTGAAAATTGATAGAAAATTTTACCTGATATTTTGAACTATTTTTTCTTCATTTTTTAAATTATTTCAAATTCAGATCATTATTGGCGCATTGGATTTGATATTTTTCAATTCTTTTTCAATATAGCATATCTTTTATTGCAGATCATAGCGTGATTTTAAATTGTGTTGATATCCTTTCCTAAATAAAACAATTCCGTTTCCCGGTTTCACTACACTTTTATCAGTTTTAATGGCAATTATTAAAATCATTTTTGGCGTTAATTTCAAGAGTCTGCGAGTTTTGAGGAGTGCACGACCCTGATGTGCTTTTTCAGGTTGAAGTTGGCGCTGAACGACTTGTGGCATTTGTGGCACTTGTGCTTGCCCTGGTGCATGGCCAGGTGGTTGGTCAGCAGCGTGGGCGTGCTGAAGATTTTTTCGCACAAGCCGCACTTGTTCTTGCCTAGGTGGATAGCCATGTGCGAATTCAGGTTGCCCTTTGTGCTGAAACTCTTGAGGCACACACGACACGTGGTGTGGCCCGAGTGCTGCGCAAGGTGCGAGTAGCAGTGCTTGCGGCACCCAAAGTCGCGGCCGCACACTTTGCAAAGGAAGCGGCTGCCGCGCCGGCCGATCTGCGAGCTCGTTATCACTTTTTTTAAGTCCCTCGGCTCCAAGGTAGTGTTTGCGCTGGACAGTGGATCGAGATAAACGGCAATCGAGTATTTTTCATTTGGTTCCATCTTCAACTGGCCGGGCAATGGATGCACTGCAAAAAATGCCAGTGAGCCAAATAATTTTCAAAAAAATTCCCTACTCTCACAATATTCAACAACAAAAATTTGCCTGTTGAAAATTATTTCTGCAAATCACTTATTGGAGGAAATATAATATAAAATTTACATTGAGCTGGGAAACAATTTTTCTCAACCTCTTTGTTAAAAGTATCGGTACCTGACGAGACACCTGAATGAAAATAGTGAGCATTTATTTTTCCTTCTTTTTATATTTCATGTATAAATTCAAGACGGATCAGGAATGTTTTCTACAGGTCTGAGAATTATTTCTTGCTGACACAGAAGATGATTTTTTCGTTAAAAATTAAATCGAGGTCACATCACAATTAAGTCAATGAGAGTCATTGGCTTCTTCGCCTCGGATTTGCTTGTGCTGTCCAGCGCCGTGCACATAAATAAGGTGGCGCTTCAGACTTTTGCCGCTGCTCAGCACCTTGCAGCAGATTTTGCACACCGTTTTGCCCTCGTGCACGGCCAGGTGGCGGTTCAGTTCGTTTATCCGACTGAAAGACTTATTGCAAATGTTGCACGTCGTTTTCCCGAGATGCGACGCCATGTGAGACCGACAACTCTCCTTCTGAGAGAACTCGCGCTCGCAAAAGCTACAAATGAATTTATCATTCTTCTCTATTATTCGCATGTTTGCTTTCATCTCAGACACGTCCGCGTTGGCCCCCGCGTAAAAAATGCTGTGCTGAATTGCCACCATGTCAGATGCAACCGGGAGATCTTCATCGGGGTCTGCAAAATGTAAAGCAACTCTCAGAATTTTGAACAATCAGGCAATGAAGTCAAAGAAAGCGCATATTTAAGAACGCTCGTTAAAATTTGTGACTTTTCATTTTGCATTTTTTTTTTTTTTTTTTTTTTTTTAATTATTTTTAAGGGGATTTTTGGCGTTTTCGGAGACCCTAATTCAAATCTTTATAGCATTTCTTCAGAGCTTTTAAATCTAAAAGTTCAAAGTACCTAATTAAAATTTCAATGTATGTCTGCAGTCTTTGAAAATTAACTTAATCTCCATTTAAATGACTCTTGATCAGGCAATTATTGGCCATATCAAATTTTCTTCAGGTTCGCCCCTCTTTGTCTTGGCCAGCGTTTTCTCTAAACAAGACTTCTTCAGCCGTGTTAATTTTTCAAATAATGGAAGCATAAACTGATGCATGCGCTGAAGTAGTTGGATTTGATCTTCCTCTTGCAGATTTTGCACACAATTGACTCCGAGAATTCTTCCTTGCAGTACAGGCGGCTGTATTCTCCATTAGGATTTGATCATTGGTGGTTTCTCAGGGCATGCCTTTGGAGTAAATTTGGCATTGCCAAGGTGGAGTTTCCGGTGTGTTTTCAAGCTTGCTTGGTTGATTACTCCCTATCGCAAATAATGCTGCAGCAGAATTTGCCCCATGGTAGTTGCAAAGCTGTAGGTTAATTAGTGAATGTGACTTCCTCCTTGACAAGACCTTTCTAGCTCAGCTACAAACATGTTTGGTTAAACGATCATTTCTGAAAAATCACAACTACTTTATATTAGCTTAAAAAAACTTTAATTCCAGATTCTATAAAATGTTATTATTTAGATTTACTAAAAATTGTACAAGCGGTTTATCTCTTCAAATTCCCTTCCCAGCTTCAAATCGCCATCAGGCTCGTTGAATGCAGAGATATTTCTGACAATTTGCACACTTTGATTGTCTAGAAATTGCTCGATATCCTTAGGGTCAGCGTTGTGTTCAGCTTTGGCATGTTTCTTCAACCCCCAATATGCAAAGAACTGGCCGCAAATTTTGCACCGCATTTTTTGGATGTGCGTGAGCAGGTGCGGCTTTAGGTTGACCAAATTGCTCAGGGTCTTTTGGCAAATGAAGCAAGTGGCCTTGCCCAGGTGCGAGTCAATATGCGTTCGGCACTTTGACCGGTCCGAGTAGTGTTTTTTGCAGTATCCGCAAAAGTATCTGCCATCTCGCAAACTCATCTTTGCCTCGCTATACACTTTGCGGTCTGCGTTTAATTGTGAAACTAGCACGAATTCGCCCAGCGTTTCCTCCTCGGACTCATGCGAGACTGCAACAATAATCAGCCCATCAGTTGGCTCTTTTCTTGTTTCATATTGTAGTTTATTTGTGCAAATAATAATAATCACATAGTTTGCATCAAATTTTTGGGGAAAAAATAATTGCTGAACAAAGTAGAGCCACCAGAAAGTCAAATATAAATATTATGCAACACTTGCTTGACATACATTGTTTTATGTCAAGGGGTACGTACTTAATGGATAGATAAACTTTAAGGGATGTATATTTCACATATTGCTAGGAGTCTTATTTTGTACTAAATTGAAACCCTGGGGCGCCTCAATTTGTGTGAAACGATTGTTTCAAGCACAAAATATAAGTAGTGCCATTAATTTTCAAGCTAATTGTAAGATATAATTGTTTACTTCAGGCACTTTCATATTGTAAAAGCCAAGTGTCCAAATATTTGCAGTGGAAGGGCAACAAAGAGCCCCCATGTTTGTGTATGAGCAGCAAATTCTTGACTCAACCAAAGTTACGCTGCTGTCGGTGCAAAACCTACTCAAATTTTGACCCAATTTTGTACCTAATACATGCATAGAATAGACGCAATGATGAGAATTGTGTTCAAATTTGCATACAAGCTTCACTAAGTTGTCTTCAACACCAGCGTTTGGCAAAATATTATTGAATAAGTAGTTTTAAGCTAGACACAGACTAACAGTTAGTCTGTGAAGCTAGACTTGTCAAAAAAAAAAAACTTCATATTCGTGTGAAATTGAATAAATTTATTTGAAATTTTAATGAAAACTTACAATGGTTATACAAATCAATAATGTATCAGTACTATTTGCTTAAAACGTATCACAAAAGAGTAAAAGCAATAGCCCTAACGTGTAATAAATTGGCTTGATTTATTCAATGATATTGAACATGTTATTGGTGTTCAGGAAAAAAATCATTTCTTGGTTCTCTTTCTGTGTTTTGCAAAGTGCAGCTTGAGTTGAGCAATGCTTTTGAAATTTTTGTTGCACAATTTGCATCGGACAAGACCTGCATGTTCTAGCAAGTGATTTCGGAGCGTCTTCTTGCGTTTAAATTGTTTGAAGCAAACCATGCAGGTCTGAGAGAACTGGTGATTCCTAGAAACGTGACGCCGCGCAGTATCTTTGCTAGTGTGAGTGGCATCGCATTTGAGGCACTGAAAAGTTCCATCAGGCAAAGTGAAAAGCAAAGGATCTGGATCCTTGAGTGCCTTTCTTGCAAGTTTGTCAATCTCTCTACTTTTCTCCAACTGCACTACAAGAACTTTTTCCATCGAATTCGCATTAGCCAACGGTTCTTCTTGTTTAACGCACATTTCTAAATTACCCAAAGGATCCTCAAAAGAGCTCATGTCAGCCAGGGGAGCAATAATCATTCTTTCTGGCTCTGCAAATTTAAAATAAAAACCTAGTTTAAAATTGGGATTTATCAAGAGAAATATATTTATGATTTTTCTACCAATGAAAAAATTATGTTTGAGCTTTTGAGCGTAAAAGTATACTATTTATTATTGAGTATATAAGTTCACAATATTGTGCTACACGATTCGGAAGCCTACGTTGTAAATTTCATCAAATAAATAATAATCTCATTCGTTTTTTTGTAATACATCTTTGATTCCTATAAGTAAAAAATTTCAATAGAAAAAAAGCCGTCACATGCTAATAACAAAAGCCAGAGAAAATACTGCAACTAAAAATGATAAAGCTTTGTTCAAATCACAAATGGGCCTTTTTCTCACAGGCCAAACTGGTGGAAGTTTTTGACATGATTTTGCAAGTTGCCGAGGGTGCTGAATTGCCGTTTGCAAAGGCCACAGACATTCTCAGACCGGATGTCGTGAAATCGCGTGTGATAATAGGCCTTGCTCTTCGTCTCAAATTTTTGTCCACACTCACCACATTCAAAGAGGCCGTTTTTCAAGTCATTTACTTTCGTTTTGCGACCATACAAACACGGACTATTCCCCTCGTGTGTGTGGTAAAAGTGGTAATAGGCTTGATTCTTCGTCAAATATGAATTCCCACACTCGCTGCACTGATATGTGCCCTTAACTGTTTCGAATACTTTCGTTTTGCGCTCTTTCCGCCACAATAAACCTGCAAAACGAAAGCCTTTAAAATTGGACACTGGTATCATTGCTAATTTAAATAGAAATCAAACAAGTGTGCGGGTTAATGTCAAATCAGGTCTATAGCTCTTTTATATTACGCTCTTTATTTTTGCCCCTCTGTAGTGTGGAATTTAATCAACTCCTTCTCTGTTTTAGGGCAGTCTTTTTTAAATAAGTAGAAACCAAAATATTAAATTTCATTATGCTTGCTACGGTGCCAATTTTTTCGGACCCAAATTTGGCAACGCATCGCAAACTGCCTGCCTATTTTTGTAAACTAATTTTATATCAAGAGTTCAGTATGGTATTGCTGGTAGCATTGGTGGATTACAAATAAGTATGCCCAAGAAAATTAATGAAAACTAGCACACATCACAACATAAAAGGCGAGATTCATTTTACATGTGTCAGTACTCTAAGCAATGGGAAGTGAATAATATTTGATTGGAGTTTAAATAAAAGATAATTTAAATTTTAAATAAAATAAGAAACTAATAATTTTAGTTGGAAATCCAATCAGGAAAATAATTTTAAACTTTCAAAGGTCATATATCTGTATAAAATATTAAATTACAATATCTTTGTAATCTAGGATGGCAGCTCATACTTCAGAGAGTTGGAGACACTTGGTAGTTAGCCTAGCCTACCTTCCACCAAGCCGAAACATTTGATTTACAAGTTAATGTTAGTAAAATAGGTTTTTAAAAAAATTTAAGATTTCCTTAAGTATGTCAAAAGCCATACTAGATAGAGAGCATTATAATGAATTTTATGATTCTTTTGAAGTAATTTTAGTAGCTTTAGAGTACGGACAAGGGAACGTTCAAGAGTGAGTCTACCCAAATGAGTAGTCCAGCCAGTAGTGTGATTTCGATTAAGGAAATGCAAGTCCAACCAAGGAAAAAAAATTGGGGTTTGGAGGAAAATGAATCACGCCTGGAAAGTAGTAAGATTTTGTTTGCCTACCTTGCATTCCCTCCTGACCCATGCTTTCGTTCGATGGTCCTGCCATTCCGAAACTGCTCATATCACCTGCATTAACATTCACAGTGAGCAACAAAATACAAGCTGAAAATATTTCAATAGTTCTACCAGAGTCCATGTCCACGGAGTTGTTGCCAAAAAGAGAATGTTCATTGTTGGAAGTCCTATTGCGGTTGGATGTTAACACAAGTTGATCACTTTTCTGAAGTTTCTGTACAATGTCCTGTTCATCTGCTGTGTCATCAACACCAGATCCTGCCTGTATATCTTCGTCTTCGTCGTAATCTGGAGTTTCTGTTTTTAAAGGCACTTGTTCAATTGACTGCACATCCTCATCCCCATCCGCACTTCCTGAAATTACAATACTTGATGTAGGTTAAGCTGCAAAAATTCTTCCAGGAGAACCATGCTGAGTGCAATTCCATCCTAGAAGGAAAGTGCCCCCTCCCCCTCAATAAAACTAAAAAATGCAAGCAAACAAACCTTGTGCAGTTTGGGATTCGAGGACTGCTGCTGGACTTTCTGTTCTATTTGGCGATTGCCATTTTCTCTTCTTGGCCGCAGGAGGCCCACTCCTCGTTGGCGTTGATGTTCTTTCCTCCACGTCCTCCTCAAAATGAGAACCAGAGGCAGGTACTCTTTCATCCTGTTTGATGATTAGTAAATACATGCTTCAATGGAAGAACAACAATTATTTATACCTCTTTGGCAGTCTTTTTCACTTTCTCTTGGTCTTTACTGCTGTTTGTGAGACCCTGTACTTGAAGCAGTTCAGCTGTGTTGAGGAATGATGCTAATTGTTCTTGCTCGACGTTGACCTCCCCGTTGTACATAAAATCGACCAATGCCATGAGATCATCGAATGTGACATTTCGGAAAATAATGACGGGGTGCTGGCAAGGATTCTCCTGAGAATAAAATTTAACGTTTTTTTATTGATTAATCCCTAAAATTATTTAATATAGAATATATATAAATAAAAAATTTTAAATTAAAAATGAGCATGTACCTTGAATAAGTCTTTGAAATAGGAACTGCATGCTGACAACAGCATTTTGTGGGCTGGGATTTTCTTTCCTTCGCAGCTGAGGGTGACATCGATCAAGTCTCTGTCACTTCGAAGAGATTCAAACGCACTTGTCATGTGCCGTACGTAGTTGTTCCATCGTAACGAGTACTGTTGACTCGCCATGGTGGCTGAAACACAAAAAATTCAAATTTATTTATAAAACAAAGAAATAACGTTAAACGAATAAAACTATCAAACGCAAAATTTAAAACTTGCAAAAAAAAATTTGCAAAAAATGGCAACGAAATACATAAAGCTTTCTTCAACTGCTAACTGCGGCATCAAACCGACAGAGCAAAGGCAAAGAGGCCGATTGGATTGAGAGGTGCGCCATCGCCATTTGGTGGCCGCCGGAGCTTGGCCGGCCGCCATTTGAAGGCCCCGTGAAGCAGGCGAACCGTGGCCGCCATTTGGGAGGTTGCCCCAAAGCAATTAATGACTCACTAGAGCCCAAACCTACTTAATTCAGTGCAGCAGTAGATCCGAAAAAGCAAATAGAGAAACTTTTTTGTTGCAAAAATAAACACCGAGGTCAGAGAACGGCCAAATGGGAATGGCTCAAGGCTCAACGCCACGCTGCGGATACGGAGCTCGGGCGGTGGTTTGCAAACCGCCAGATGAGGGGCCGAAATTCGAATTTTTCTGCCTAGAGAGTGGAAGTTTTTTATGTAAATTATTACCTGAGAATTTATATTTGCGTTGAGAGCTACTCAGGGCCGAGGTGCTGTAGATTCATCGGAGAAAATAGTCATTCCGTGCGTCTAGAAAAACTTCAGACGTTGAGCGATGGAGCGATGAAAGTTACAATAATGAATTCGATCAGTTTGCGCAGGCGCCGCAAGCGCTCCTTGCCGTGGCCACCGTAGAGTCCCGCAACCGACCAATGATCGTTGAGAATTTGATCATGTGACCTAAGCAAATGACCTTTCCCGTAAGTTCGCCCCGGCCGCTCTTGTTGGCTCTCCTCTCTCAGCTTTTCTCATTTTTTTCATCGCACGTTGAAGATCGACTGAAATCCCAGAAATCTGAAAGGAGAATAAATAAATAAAAAAAAAAAAAAAATAATAGGTGAAATACTTACTATATTTTTTTTTCTTGCTTCCGGAGCAGATGCCACAACACAAAAGATTAGGATTATACTTGGATTAAACATGAACAAAAAACAAAAATAATTATAACATTATATGAGCGTAGCAGGGGTGTGGAAAGAATTTAAAGAAAGTACATTTTTTGATCAAGTTAATTGCAATAAATTTTGGCCTGTGTAACCAAAAGCTGAAGAACTGCTTCAACTGCTGAAGAGCTATTTTTTTTTTTTTTAATTAAAATGCTCAGTGAAAACAAAGATTTTGGCTTACCTATTTCTTGTCTTTTAATGCAAATAATAAGAATGATATTCCCAATATATTATTCTCTTTTCGTCTCGGGTTTTTTTCTGATATGTCAGGCCCTGTGCCCTGTGTGCCATTTTTTACTCATCACAAACATGGTTATCTCAGAGTTTCGAAATAAAAGAGAAAAAAACGGTTAGTTCTCCATTTTCTCCAATATCTTTTTTCCAGTTGCGGGCGGCTTGAGAATTTCCATTTTTTTTAGAGTCTAGCTAAGACATAATAAACAAACAAAAAACAAAGTCTTGTTGTTAATTTTTTAGAGTGAGCTTGTTTTTTTTTGTAATTTTTTGTGTACAGTTGTGTCGTGTTGTCAACTAATGCAGCAAGCACTGCACCGGCCCATTTGCATTATTATTACGAATATTTTTATATTTAATTTATTTCACTGTGCTTATTTCAAACTAAAAAAATATTTTATACCATCTACAGGAATTTAACTGTTAGTGAAATATTTGAAGCGAAGGCATAAATAAAAAATATATGCATTTAAAATTTTCAAATTAATCAAAGATTTTTCTAAAAGGAGCATATCGCATTATCTAATGATGTTGCCGGGTTTAATTTTTTATAGAAAGGAACATTTTAGGAAAACAAAGAAAAATATTAACCTCTTTTTATGACTCCACTTAGACAAATATATACGTTGTTTAATTTGAATAAACTCATATTCTGTTTCCAATGAAATTGGGCTATTGAATTTTTTTATATCTGCTGCGTTTGTTTATGCAGGAACAATGGATACTAAAATAATACTAAAAATAGAAATTTAATTAAAAAAATAAACATCGTACATTTTCACGGCCTAAAAAGGAAACTAACAGACTAAACAATTTTTCATTTGTTTTGTCTTTACTGGCTGGCTGGCAATAGGAGCTGATCGATCACAGACGCGGTACGCTGTCAATTGGCCAGCTGAGCCGACAAATTAAAATAATATTCAATAATACTAAATTAATACCTAATGATTTGCATGGAATTATAATTTGATTGAGTGAGCTCACTTGCATTTATTGACTTGTACTGACTTGTACTTTGATTAAAGTTTTTATACCCATTTTTATCGATTTTATTATTATTGGTGTTTAAATGGCGTCCATATTGTTACAAATACTTTCAATCATTGAAAATATTTATATATGAAAAAAAAATTAATTTTTGGACAAAACGCACCATCAATTGCAAGAATTTTGCTAAAACTTCCGTGATCAAAAAGACCCCATTATCCTCTCCATCTTTTGTCCCTCTTTTCACTGCCTGATTTTCCCGCCTTCGAACTTCAGAATACTATTAAGAACGTAAACAGTAGCAACCCTATCCAATAGGTGTCTCTGGCAGTATAGTTGGCGTGGGAACTCGTGGAAACAGTCTGGAAATTTGTTCCGGTCGCCCGTGTTTGTTTGTTTACCACCCTCCTCTCGGTGCATTAGTGTTAGTGATTGTTGTTCACGTTTCAGAGAACGAATGTTCCACGCGACCTGTCGACGATTCGACCTTATTTCGCCATTCGCCTTCTTCGACCAGGAAAGTTCCGAAGACCTGATTCACTGCCAAAAGAGGTGAGTTAGACTTTGCGAAAATTCGGTCCCCGGCCCCACCGTGGGGACAGGAAACGCGAGACGAGCCGCAGACGTGGGCCGGGGGAATCCGTGACCGGCCGGATTGGCGGGAAACAGGGCCGGATGCGTCGGATTGTGACAGAAAGTCCGGCCGAAAATCGGACTCCGGGCCGCCGACGTTGAGAAAATGGTTGGTGCGACGCACATGGCAATGTTTGTAAACAGCCAGGGGGCAGGTGAATGAAATGGAATAATAATATGCGTGTAGCAAAACATAATGGTCACGAGACTTGACCGTAGGAAAGAGGCTCGCACCTGCACGCCTTACCACAAGAAATACGGTACACAGTTCATTGTGTGCAAGAAGTATAAATTAATATGGATTTAGTGCCAACACTCAATTGTTGTTGCTCTAAATCTAGATTCTTCGAGATCAAACAATTTTCATGATTTTTTTTTTTATCCACAGTTCAACCCACTAGCTTTGAGACTAGTAGAATTCAGGTTTTTTCAAATGTAATTTTTGAAAATTTTTCAATTTGGAGGAATTATGTATTGACGTTGACAAATTTTAAAAATGGAAAAAAAATCTTGTAATTTGATATTTTTTTTTTAAAGCATTTTGGCTATTTTTTAAAATTTATTATATTAATACTATTGTGTATATTTTCTATATTTATATCTAATTAATTACTCTTTATGAACAAAATTTGGTCTACAATTTATTGATTTAATTAACATAACTAAGAAAATTTTTATTGTTGTTATTAAAATTAGAATGGCAAAAATAAGACAGTATTTAAAGTTTTAAAATTTTAGGAACATGTATAATTATACTATCCTTCATTATTATATTTTTTCCTGATAAAATTCAATAGCAAATACGTGTTTTACACGCTTGCCATTTAAGGTTAAATTTTTGAAAATTCTCTTAATATTGTTTTTGAAAGTTAAAGATCATCTTTAATTTAAGTTTTTAATATATGAATTGATAGAAAAATAACTTAAGCGAATTCGGCAAATAATCCCTTAATTCCGTCCAAATAGGCTCATTGAGATGGTCAATCTGCCTGATCTTTCATTTATTAAACTTTTTTTAATTTTTACTTTTCTTATGGCACCCTTGAGCTTATTAGGCTATGGGTCGGTCTCTCTCATTTATCAAACTTTCCTGTCGATAAAATTACTAAGAAATATTTATTCTGGATTAATAAATCTCATTTTTTTTTTTACATCCAATTCACATGGATTCCGCCTGGTCATTGCACTGTTGCTAACATCTCGCACTCCGGGTGATACTTCCTTGCAATTTTGAGATTTTCTCGAAGGAGACGTAAAATCAAATCCGTATCTATGCTGAAACGTTAAAACATACTGAAATTATCATTAATCTCTGAGGAAATTTTTGATCTCGCTGAAATTATTTAGGGAAACTTATTTTTGTATATTCTCTGTTCAGTGAAACTGATTGTGAGTTAAAAACATTAAAAAAAGTTTCTAAACTGCAAAAATAAAAATAAAAAATAAAATAGGAAATATAATAATTGAAATTTTCTTTCGTAACTTTAAAATTTTAATTTTTTATTTATTTTCTCATTTTAATTTTAATTTTTATAATGTAAACACTAGAAAAATTTTGAAATTATGAATAAAAATAAATGTTTTCTCTTTCTTGCGTGGTTTCCCAATATATGTCCCAACGCTAAAATAATTTCTCGGTCTTTTCCTTGTTTGGACATGCCCTGTGGGACTTGCGGAAATTTTCCGCTGCAGCCGAAGGACATCCATTATTCAGCAAGCCGCTGCCCCAATTCGTCAGCTTTGGCAAACACAAGGGCCGTTGGGCGTGTGCGTTTCCATCGAGGGGTGCATTTGGTTTTATCTTCCCTCTTTTGGGCTGCACACGGGGTGGTGGCGAGAAGGGTTGCCGCGCCAACTACGCAGCACTCGCGCTGCATCCCAGATCGATGCGTCCGTCCCCTCTTCATACTTCACGCACCCTCGCGCCCACCGCCCAATGCACCCTGTTAAGAGAACGTGCTCGCACTGCCGACCAAATTCTGGGCCGAAAATTTCGGTAATGACGCACACGTGTCGGAGGCTGTGTGACTTGCATATTTATACACCCGCCGCTTTCCAAAGATATTTCACTGCAATTCGCTCTGATTTTTCTTCCTCCTTCTCGTCGATTTGTAAATTGAAGTAAGGACGCGATTTGTTTGTTTGCTGTTAGGCCAACATGAACTTCGATTCAACTCTCGTATACGAAAAAAAAGAAATAACAATTTTTATTTATTGATTCATTGTTTTTTTTTTAATCAGGAACAAAAACAAGTGTGAGTAGATAACACCTGTTATAAAAGAATAACCTGGAAAGTAACAAAATTATTTTATCATCATATTTTTGCTTTTTTATATTCAAAAGATTAGATGAAAATTATCTCATTTTTACTGCTTGCAAATTTAGTTAATTATTTACCCGTTACCCTCTATTGTTGATCAAATAATGGAATTAATTATTTTATTTAAGTACAAAAATTCTTCAAATTTTGGCATATTAGTGGTAAATTCATTACATTTTTGAATAAATTTAAAGGGATTGAATCAAATTATACATTAAAATAGTCTACGATTTTTAATACCATTCTCCAAAAATAGTTTGTAAGTTATAAATAAGCATAAAATTTCTTTTTTAAATACATTTTTCTACTACTTACATGACTATATATTAATTCTGTTTATTTATTACATAGTAATGAAGCTGAATGTATAAGATCATATATTGGTGAATCTTATAACTTTATGAGCAAAGCTATGGCTAGTTGTAAATCTAAGTTAATATCGTAGTTTCAGCCAAGATGCGCATCAACTTCAAAGTCTGGATGCTTTTCGTCCGCATTTCCTTTTTGTCCCCCCTAAATTCCGTGCCACTCGCACGCGTCCTTTCATCTCTGCCATTTCTTTGTGTGTCGGGGGCGCAATTTAATTATTGTAATGGCCCGTTGTCAGGTTGGACAAAAGCGAAGGAGAAAAGTAATAAAATCATTAAATATTCACAAGGCGTGTAAGTGAGTTGTCGCTGGCGAGCAAACAAACAAATAAGAGAAAATGCGGCTCGCAACACATAACTAACAATGTCCTAATGAATTAAATAGGAGGTCGAAAAGGGTATAATGCACGCTGTGGATAATGGACTTTGTGCAGGGACTTCTAAGGGAAGCGAATTGAATCGGGATAGAGTCAGAAAAAGGAGCAAAATCTCCTTGACTTTGGACAACGTCATATTTATGAACTTTCAGCGAAATACAAAAAATGCTAGAAAAATGTGAAAGATTTAAAGTTTCTGTTCATTCTTACAATGTGATTGCAGAAATGTGGATAAAAAATTCGATAATAATTAAAAAATAATATTAAAAAATGAGAAAAAATATCAAACCGTTCTGCAGATTGTAGGCAATAGTCGAAATATAAGATATTTTGGAAAAATGGATGAGTGAATTGGCACAATATTGTAACAAATATAAAAAGCATAAAAAGTAATTTAAAAGCATAAATATATATAAAATGATGAATTTGAGATATTTTGTTTGTTTTTGATTTAATAGGAAATAGAAGAAAAATATTAGAATAAAATATCATTTATTAAAATTTATTTATACTTAACACCTGCTGTACAAAATCCGTTAAAGTTAGCAATAAAATTAATGAAAAATCAATTATAATGGATTTTACTTGCACAAAAGAACGTTGAAATAAATATCATTCTTCAACCCCTTTTTTTGTATTCTTAACAATTAAAACAAGAGAGCCTTATAATTGAATTGCTTCTCGCAGACTTTGGTCCGGAGCTTGGTGGCCGTCAGAGGTATTCGCTGAATAATCCAGGGGCAAGTTCTCACACACGCGCGCACCCTGCAAAAAGGGGGTGCGAAGTGAATAATTGAAGACGGGCGTGCACTCGGGCGAAAAGGGGAATCAGGTGGGCGCGGACGAGAGACAATAAAAGTCTCTTGCAAAATTCATGCCGCCGAATCTTTCGCGCGCGATCAAAGTTTAAAAGCGCGCTCTTGCGGCGTGGTGCTGCTGGCGAACGGATAGAAGGGGTGGTTCTGCAGGGGTCCGCGGGGCCGGAGCGGGTGTTTGGGTGCGGCGGCGGCGACGATCGATCCCACGGCCGACCGGCCGGGCGTCACAACAATGAGTACGCTACTCCCGCGATTCATGCCCTGCCGCCGCCCTCGTCGTCCCGCCCAACGCCACCGACCACCCAACCTGCCTCCCCCGGGGTTGCCGAGATTTTAATTAGGCGCTGCGAATGTGGGTCGACTAGCCACGCAGGGCAAGTCAGGTGCGTTATTTGCAATTTTCCCACCACGTGATTCGGTTTTCAACGCTAGGCCAATGAACTGAAAAGACGAAAAAAAAGTCTAATCAAAATATTTTGATGTGTCATTTTAATTGATTTAATATGATTTGAAAATTCTCTTTCCCCTGAGAATCTTGAAGCAATCAAAAGAACTTTAGTTTCACCTCAGCAAAAAAAAAAATCGCAACGAAATTCACCCCCTTTTTCTTGCAGGCAAATTTGCATATTTTGATGTTTTTTTCTGAACGGCAAGAACGAAAATTCCTCCGCCTTCGCTCACTTGATTTCAATTTTTATCCTATGGCTGTTTTTTCCGGCTCAAAAGCTGCGGATCCGGATGATATTTCCGCGCGAAATCAAATTTAATGTGAAGCGACGCGTTTCAAATTTTTTTTTGTTTCTTGCGAGGAATGCCACGAGTCGCATTTCGCCCAAGAACTTTTTGCTTCTGCAACGTTGAATCCAATTTTATTCAAATTATAACGCGTCAGGAAGTGGGAGGGGGGAATGTTATCTTCGGCAGGCGTCTGCGCGCGATCCGCGCGATTGTTATCTCTGCAACTCTTTTATTCCTTTTTGTGGTTAAATTAATTTTAATTTATTTGAGCCTTCTTGATTTTTTCTCTGACAATAC